TCACGGGAAAAGGGCTGCGGGGGGGGGGGAAGAGCTACATGGACTCCCCCGCTGCCCCGAGATGGTCGACGGAGAGGAATGCGTTGAGGGGCGAGGGGCCACCCAGGGAGCCCCAGAGGCTGGAGGAATAGCCGGTGCTCCCCCCCCAGAGGGAAGCCCCATGGAGGTCTCCGCCGCTCGATCCTGACAGCCCGGCACTGTTCCAGTGCTGATTTAGGTCGCTGCGGTTGGGGAAACTGTGCGAGCCCTCCACGGAGCCCAGGCGGTTCTGGCTGGTGCCCAGAGATTGCCAGGCCGGGGAGGGGGTAAGAGACTGGCCTTGTGCAAAGAAGCGGCTCACCTCCTCTTCACTAGCAAACTCGGCGAGAATTGTCGTGTTCCCCAGGACACACCTGCCCAGAGAGGGAGAGGGAGAGAGAGAGACACACACACAGACACACACATCAGCCAGAGAGCGAGAGGAGCAGAGAGACGGGCCAAATCAGAGAAGCCCACCTTCCCCAGGCCTCTCTCTCCCAGTGCAGGGCGTGGGGCCGTCGTCCTAGGCCTGCCATCTAGGGCCCCAGCCTCGGTGGGTTGCTGCAGCTGGGCGGGCCCTCGGACGCCTCCTCCCCCCCCAGATGCTTGGCGTGTCACAAGGATTCATTTGTACCGATCCACCACCGGGCAGCACCCTCGGAAGGAGAAGCCGCGCCAGGAAGCCATGGCCGAGGCGAGGCCGGTTCTGCTGCCCAGTTTGATCCAAAAGGGAGCGGCTTTGTCCTTTAGGGCTGCCACTGCCGTGTAAAATGGATCCCCTGCTGCACAGCAAAGCCCTGTGTGTTTGCCCCCCCTCCCCCCCCCCAGGGAAAGGCCCCTCGCCCCACCCGACCCTGGGCCCGCCTTCGCGACCTCCACCTCCTGGGCACCCCAAGCGCGGCCCGACTTACATGTGGAGAGATTTTTGTGCCTTTATCACCTCTTCTTTCGAACTGTAGCGGACCAAAGCGTTGCCATGCGGCAGGTTGAGGTGGAAGGTGATCAGCGGCCCGTGCTGCATGCAGAGCGTCCGCAGGGTGGAGCCGTCGATCTGGAAGGGGAGGCACCCATGAAGCCACCTCCCGCTGGGGGCACTGGGGGCGGCGGGAGGGGGGGGACACAGGAGAGAGGGGGCTCGAAGCATCGGGAGGGAGAGGAAGACCGGTCGGCCAGCCGGCCCTCCTCCTCTTCCTCCCCCCACCCCCACCCGGAGGGCAATTCTGCGCCACTCACCTGAGGGGTGAGGTTTTTCAGGACAAGACAGTTGGTTATTCTCCCTGAGCTGCTCTCACCCCAACTGGAACCTAGAGGAAAGCGGACGGACAGAGAAGGGTGGGAAGGCCAGCAGGAGACGGGCTCCAGGGGCCCAATATTCTCCCTGGCCGGCCATCGCCAGGAGGACCAGCTGCTGCCCTTTCTGAGCTGACGTCATCCCGCCAAGGCAGCTGTCCCTGAGAATCCTCCTCCTCGAGCAGCAGCAAAGGGCGATTCGGGGGGGAGGGAGGAGAAAGAACCCCAGCCCCCCCCCAGGGCACCCGCAGGGGACGGCCACCGCCTCCTGGCCCAGCACAAAGATCAGGGAGACCCGCAGGAGGATCCTCGGGTCTCCCTTGGAGGGCAGCCCGGCTCCTCTCCCAGGTCTCTGTCCCACAGCGTTGCGGCCGCAGCTCCTGCCTCAAGGACACACGTGGATGTGGCCACTCCCAGGCCCCGCTACCCCCGCCTGCCACGGCACCCGAAAGGCCTCTTACCAGGGGTATATCTGGCGTCGGCGTTGCTCCACCCACCACCGCCGCTGAGCCGCACGGAGTTCTCCCAGGCGGACAGAGGCCCCTTCTGGCCGGTCAGCCCAGGCGGGGGCCGCGACGGGGCCGCCACGCTCTTGGGGGGCAGCGGGACCTTCCACAGCTCGTGGGCCAGGGAGGTGTTGTTCAAGGAAGCGGGAGACCAAGCGGATCTGGAGTCGCTGTTTCTGGCTGGGAGGAAGCAGGCGAGTTGGGGACCCAAGTCTGTTCCCTGGGGTGGAGGGCAAGGGGGGGGGCTGGAGAAAGGGCGACTGGGGGAGGAGGGGGGGCAGGCTCACCTGAAGAAGGGC